CGAGTTAGTTTCTGGGAGATTTATTTGGTGAGATGCCAGTTGGAGTTGCAAAACTCAGGGATGAGTAGAGGTGATGCTTATTGGAGGATCGCGGTCTGAGTCGAGCAATCGACCGATTGATGAGACGTCACCTTCTGAGACAAGAGTTGCGCTGTCCCCATTTATGGGAGAAGTGAAGGAGATAAGAGTTTCCGGTTTCAGAGTTGGAGGTAAACCCCGTGGGGTAGCATAGGGTTGCAACCTTTCACCAGAGTATTTAGGCAGTATGTTTGCTGCGAGGTAGTCCTTAGGCCACGAGAGAACTATTAGTGGAGACTGAGATGTGGACAAAGAGATGCCTTAGTCAAGTTAAGTATGTTTTTACCAGCGGTTCCAAGTGATCAAGAGGAGTATATTGGGGTAGTGGCCCTCGTCGTTATGTTGTGTATCAGCCGTGAGAGTGAGGTCTCATGCTTTTATGATGATTCCCGTATTGGGAGGCTGGTCGAGGAGTCAGAGACGAGGTGGGTAATAGTGCATTATTTCTGGATCGAGAGTCAAGATTATTTCAGAACAGTTGGGGTATCCGGCAGTGTGTCGGTCTGAGGCTTCGAGATGACTAGAGACAATCACGTCGAGAGGATTCTGAGATTTTTGTCTAAGTTACGAGATATTTGGAGTTGCTTGGTTTCCATCGGGAAGATCATTGATGTGACTACGTGGTACGTTCCAAGAGTTAAGTATGATGTGCCCGGTGAAACAGTCTATGGAATAGACTGTTGGTATGCCAATTGGTGATGGTTCGAACCCTGAGTGGGGGAGAACTGAATACTTTATTGAGAGTATTAGAGATTTGTTCAAGAGCAGTTAGAGGACTGGATATAGTGACCTACAGTATGGATAAATGAGACCAGAGTTATTGGTGGTCGAGGCGAGGTGCAGAGCGAAATAATGCATGTTGTACATGTTCAGGAAGGGATGAGTGTCTCCACAACAGGCGGCCGTTGGTCAGAAACCTTGTGGTGGTTAAGGATTCTTCAAGGTTGTTATGGTAAAGTCGAGGTGGTTGGCTCGTAAGGATAGTTTTGGCAGTTGAGAATTTCTTGTTCAATGTATGGGTTGTGATTGGGCAGCCAACTTCAGGGTCAGTATGTGTATTCTTGCATGGGTTTTGAGCAATAGAGGAGGGAGTTTTGGATTGTCGTCAACGTGTTCTGAGTCATTGACGATTCCTCCGTGTTTCAATTGAGAGTTGGAATAATCCGAAGTTACGAGTTGTGCGAGAGGAAGATCGGTGGTGGAGTCGAGATATTGTGAGATTCTGGATGGATACATTGCGGTATCCGAGTATGATGCCATGGGTGGCGGATCAGTGGTTGAGGCAAGACATCGTGAGATGCTGTGATGGTGTACCGAGGTACCCGAGTGATTTATTGTTCCAGTGGGAACCCAACAATTAATTGTCGTCGGAGTGGGACTGTCTAAGGGTGTATCTGTGCTGAGAAAAGTGCCTTGCCTATGAGAACTTACATCAGGAGTGGTGGTGCATAAATTGAGTGGGTGTGTGCACTTATCTATGTTGGGTTGTGGGGCATGAGTTAGTGAACTCAGTGTAGTGATGACTTGATGATGAGATTTTGAGGTAATAAGAGAGCGAGTGGATCCGAGTGGGGGTAGTCACTTAGGATTATCGGGGAAAAACCATGGAGTGAGCCCACGGCGATTCAGTGAGTAAGAGAGTGTTGTAAGACTACGGGGAGCCGTAGCATCCATGAGTTAGTGAGAGAAAGAGTATCGTGTGACTGCAGAGAGCCGCATCATACATGAGTCAGAGAAAGGGTATCATGATACTGTGTGGAGCTGTGGTATTCACTAGCCAGTGAGAGAAGTATCTTGATAATGCGGGGAGCCGTAGCATTCACTAGTTAAAGGGAGAGTGTCGTGATACTGCGGGGGGGCCGTAGCATTCACTAGTTAAAGGGAGAGTGTTGTGATACTACGGGGAGCCGTAGTATTCACGAGTTAGTGAGAAAGTGTCATAGGCCTGCGGGGAGCCGTAGCCTTCATGGGATAGTGAGGGGGAATGTAATGATACTACGGGGAGCCGTATTATTCGCTAGTCAGAGCATGACGCAGAAGAGTTTTTAGGCTTGGGTAGCCTTATTCTTTGAGTTTTAGGGAACCTAGAGGTCGGACCAGGGGCGAGACTGGGGTCTCCTTAATGATCGGGAATCGTTATATTCTGAGTTAAGGTGTGTTTATCGCAATCAGAAGGAATTGGAGAAGTGATGTACGCGTGAGTTGCGGGTCATGGGTCATGAGTTGAGTGCTTCATTGGGACGAGTGGTTCCAATTATGAGTCGGACCAGACTCTCGAGTTAGAGTTTGGCTCTAGTGATGTATTGAGTAGGCGAAATGAGATTCCGGATCCAGAGAAGGGGTTCCATTTTGAGGGGCATTGTTTGTCATCTGATGACTTAGGCCTGAGTGGGTCAGTTCGTTGGTACGAGAGGTATCGCGAGACGCATGGAACCAATGAGTAGTGGACGACAGAGGTCGGGGTGAGATAATCTTTAGTTGGGATTGTAGTAATCGCTTGGGGTAAAGCGGACTTCGTGACTTGTGCGTCACACTGGGCCGAGATAGTTAGTGTGGGAAGGAAGTCAGTGAGACATGTTGAGGTACGAAATGGGTAACCTTTGGAAGTTCAACTGCTAGGTCGGGAGATGACCTGGTGCTCAGTGTTGAAAGGGATATTGGAGAAGGGAGCTAGGGTTTATGATTGTTAGATGTTAGAGGATAGTTCTGAACAAACATGATCATTGTCTTGTGTCTGAGGACAGGGTGTTGAGAGTTCATTGTTCAGATGAGTTTTGATTGCAGTACAGTGGATGGGTCCCTGGTGTGATGTGATCCTTTCATTCTTTGGAGTATGATCTGAATTGTTTAACATGTCTTGTATGAGTGATCGGTAGTGAATTTTTGGGCATTGACTTGTTTTATCAGTCGCAACGAGAGAATCAGAGGGGAAGTAAGTTGTCAGGGTCTGTTATTCGTGGAGCGAATAACATGGTGATATCTTGAGAAGGCGGTTTGGCAGTGAGACGGGCCACTAGAGTTTCCAGATTCTGGAGAGTCAGAAGGGTTATCGTAGCGGCAGAAGGGTCTGTCCTTTTTCTGGGTGGGAGTTCCTGTTTGGATTTAGGTGTCCATGGAGGGAGATAGTTGTGTGTTATGAGATTCTTTCGGTGGTGCTTTTCGGTTATTGGGTTCGATCTATGTGTTGTTGAGGAGCGATTTCGAGGGCGAAATCTAATTCAAGTGGGGGAGAATTGTGACATCCGGACTTTCAGGTATATTATTGTGTGATTAATCTTGAGACTTATGGAGTGACTCGGCGAGTTGTGAGTCCAAATCGTCGAGTAGAGTCGAGTGTCCACGTGGGATTAATGAATGGACTCGACGAGTCAGAGAGCCGACTTGCCGAGTAGGTGCTGGGTAGAGAAACCTAATTTCCCGGGTTGGGGCCTATATAAGGGAACTTATAGCCCCATTTGCGACTCACCAGTCACCCTACTTCCTTGAGAGAAACCCTAATCGTCCATTTGAGCTAGAGAGTGAAAAATAAGCTAATCTTGTGGATTTTAGTGCATTATTGAAGGAGAAGTGGAGAGCATCAAAGCTTGGTTCAAGAGGAGGCTTTGGATCTAGAGGTTATTCAGAGTTTTGCTTTAGTTGGATGTAAAAAGATGCTAACTTGGTCATTTCCTTATGAAGATTTTGGTTTAGGGAGTTTCTAGGGTGTCTCCCATTCTTTTTTGGTGTCATTGTGATCTTTGAGCATGATTGAGGTTGAAACCTCAGATCTGAGTTGTAGGAGGCTTTGTGAGCCCAAAGACCCGAACTTTATTGAGTTAGAGACAAGACCTTGAGCATGTAACCTTTGTTAGAACTTGTATTGGCATTATGGAGCAAGTATGCCATGCATAAACGTAAAGATCGAAGCTTTACGTGACAGTCGAGCCTTGGGAGGCTAGATCTAGAGTTTAGGGTAGTAGATCTGCCTTAAAACGTCTGAATGAGAAAACAGACTGAAGGGACGTGCCGATTCCATGAACAGACTCGACGAGTCGGTTAGGGTTTGTCCCGATGAGTTTGATCATGCGATAACTCGGCGAGTTGGGGGTCAACTCGACGAGCTGAGCTGGACTTTCTTGATACTTCTGAGAAAAAGAGGGGACTCGACGAGTTGCATGAGTGCACTCGATGAGTCGGGTCAAACAAGGACTATTGACTCGAGTTTGACTTCTAGTTGGTCAAACCTGAGTAATGGAGACCATTGAAGGGCAAAATGGTCTTTTACCCACTTCCGGAGTTAGGGAGAGAAAGAGTAACCTTTGGTTTACTTAGAGTTGAGAATCGAGTATTAATTAGAGAATATTTACCCTATGTGTTAGGCGGTGGCTAGTTCGATATTCGAGTACAGGGATAATTGCTTGCGTGCCTCGAGGTGAGTCTTCTAACTATACTTTACCATGAGTGGTATTTGTGTGTGACTAAGATGTCTTATGTGCTTATCTGTGTATTGTGATATCCTGTATTATTTCTTTGTGATTTATGATGTGTATTACTTAGAGCTTAGGACCGGAGGGTCCACAGAGTTAGGACCGGAGGGTCCATCAGAGTTGTGGGACTGGAGGGTCCCACTGAGACACATTGGCCGGAGGGTCTTACAGAGTTATAGCCTCGAGTGTCTAATGTGTTGAATATGGTATTTTGGGGAACTCACGAAGCTTCGTTCTTACCATGTTATGTGATATGTGTTTCAGGTACTTTTCACGATATCGGGAAGGCGCCGACTCGATTGTACACACGAGAGAAAGAGTTATGTTCGGAGGATCCTGGATTATTAATCAAACAATTATGGAGTTGAGTTTTGTAAATTAAATAAATGGGATTTTGGGAAATGTGTTATGAGAATTATGTGATTATAAATTGAAAAAAAAAAATTGTTTGAAAATTTATGGTGTTACAGTAATTGGGAAATCCAGCTGATAATCCATTTCATTCTTAACAGAGAAAGAAGTCTGGGGCTCTAACCAAAACAATGTTGGATTATAAATTGCTTCTTTCTGAATCCGATCAACAATCAACTTTGAAAACATAGCCTTCTTTGAAGCAAGAATTTCCTCAACATTCTTCTCTTCAACTTCTTCAGCTTCAGTTTTCGCTTTTAAAGCATTCAAGGCATCAAGCTCCTTGTCCAAATTTTCTCGTTCCTTCAATTCTTTTTCCGATAAATTGGGATTCAGATCATCATCTTCTTCCGAAATGATATTAACCTTTCCTTTCCTTGATCCAGAAGATACATTATGTAACGCCCGTGTTTCTACGATAGGAATTAATGATGATGTAATATTCTAGGTCAACCCTTGTAACTCATTTTGAAGAAATAAAGAGGAATTATGTGAATATTATGTGAATTATGTGTTTTATGCTTAATTATTAGGAATTAATTAATTAAGAATAAAAATAAGCGTCAAAAATAAATATTAGATAAAGCCGATATCTATTAAGAAAGTTGTGGTGGTCGTGACAAGGATTTCGGATATATAAAGAATACCGAAATCCGAGTTATAACGAAGAAGTTATGACTTGTCGAAGTTCCGCGACAAAACCGACACGGCGCCGAATGACGTAAAAAGTGAGTTTTTGATAAACTACTTTTTAGCCTTGGTGATCTAAATGAAAGTCGTAGTGTTCGTTAAACCGAGAGTATGCATAAAAAGAACACCCAAATCTGACTTCGTATGAGGAAGTTATGTTTTTTCTAAGTTTCAGCTTAGCAGTAGACACCTAAAAACTCGAATTTTAGATCGAGTGATTTTTAGCCGACACAACCTAAACGAGAATCGAAGGTCTCGTCAATAGTTGTACAACGGTAAAAAGACAGATGAAAACGGACGTCGGATGAAGAAGTTATGAATTTTTAACGGATTTTCCTGTCCCGGTCTGTTAAAAATAATAATATTAAAAATAAATTCAAAATTAGCCGACGGAGTCTAAACGAAAGTTGTAGAACATAATTCTACCTACGCGTGAATATAAAGAACGTCAAAAACGGAGCCCGTATGCGAATGTTATGGATTTTAGAAGTTTGGGACACAAAAATCGAGAAAAATGCTAAAACCGAGGAATTTCGCACGGCTGGTGTTCGGCCACGTCACCCTCGCTTCGCTGCTGCCCCGTGTCCGATCCGATGATGTGTCCGAAGCGTGGTCCGGTAGAAATCAGACGCGTGTCACATACGTGGTGTGTTCGAAGCGAGCCACGCCTCGCCTACGAGCTTCCGACGCGCCTCCCACTCCTCGCATCCGTGTCTCACCCTCGCACCAGCCACCTGTTCGCTTCGCATCCGAGCCACCTTGCGTCCGAGCCTCGCAGCAGCTGCCACGTGGTTCTTCCCCCTTGCTTCGGATCTGAGGCTCTCCTCTATAAATAGAAGGGTTGCGAATCCTCCCGGGTAATTTTGGAAAATTGCCACTTTTCACCCTAAATTCAATATTTTTACTATCTCGACTTCCCCCCGAAGCCTCGGTATCATTTCCAACACCCGAAATACGTCCCGAAGTGCCCGAAGACCCGGAAAAATTTATCTTTTCGGTTTTGAAGCTCCACCCTCGCAGGGCCCGGTTTTTCATTAAAGCCCCTGTTTGTATTGGAAACGATCGTTTTAGGAAACGAAGTGCTGCCCGATTATCGTTAAATCAAGTGAGTGTATAGTCACTTTCATCTTACACATAGATATGAAGTATTTTATATAAAATACGTGTTATGTGAATATATATTGCTTAGTTATTTGTGATGGATGATGAATGAATGATTTATACAGGTTTTTAAACTGTATATGTATTTTTATCAACAAATATGTTGGGTATAACATGGGTAGATAGTTGATGTGTGATGAAATAAAACAATGAGAGGCCTCGATGTTATTGTGATCCAGTCATCTAGCGGAGTATGGATGATGACCACAGACTTTTCTAGATAGTCCTGTGGAACGCTGGCAGGCTCGCAACCTATAGGTGTTAATGAACTTGGGTGTTCATTTAATGTACTCCATCCCCCACATGGTTGCCTTATTTGACATAAATTGTTGGGAAACCCCCAAAGTAGTGTTGTCGCCCCGATGAAAATCCTTAGACTAGGTCCCTTGTGATAGTTGTTTTAGGGACGTAAAGTGAGGATAACGGGAATGGGTAATCGGGTTACTGTTGTTTGATGAAATTAATAAATTTATTTATTGTGGGTTGAAAACCCTATATGCTCACCAGGCTCCCAAGCCTGACCCACTCAGTTTTCTTTGTATTACAGGTAGTGGCGCGAGAGCATAAGTTGAACAACTTATCAATATATTTTGATTATAGGCCTATAGTGTATATAACTGTTGTAAGGTTTATAATGTGTCGTTTATGCTTTTGGTCTGTTACGAAACATGACATCCCGAGTTTTGTTATATAATGAAAATACATTTCTTTAAGAAATGATTTGGTAAATATTATTTTATCATATTTCGTTTTGGGAACAAATTCCGCAACTCTTTTTAATCAGAGGATTACTCTGAAATTATTTTAAAAGCATAATTAAACCGGTCTTTTCTGGTCGTGAATTTGGGGATGTCACACATTACCCTTTCGACTAATTTTCACTTCTCTGAGATTTTTCAACTTATCTTTCAAAGTTTGTTTTTCAAGAACAACTTTTTAGCATCTGACTTAGCCATTTTCCCTGTCTGATAAGGATTTCTCAAATTAGCTTCTGGAACTTCCTCTTCATTAACCACAATTTCACCTTCATTCGCTTCCTTATCATCTCCCCCTTGCGTCAATAAGTTACGAAGTTTCATATTTGCATCAGTAAGTTACGAAGTATAATAAACATATGGAGCATCCTTATTTTCAACGATTCTAACAAGACGCTGATTAAATTCAAAATTTTGACCCTTTACCAAAATTAATTCTTCACTCATCTTGCCAAGATCAATTGTTGCACTTTTTAGTTGTTCCTTGAGCACTTTCACCTTTGAAGTAGATTCAGCAAGAGCATCCATGATTTTGTTTTCATGTGCAAGATCATTTTGCATTCTCAAAATTGAGTTTGCAATAGACGTATGATGATCTACATTGTCTCTTTGAAGACCAACACGAAGACTTGAAAAACTTCCTTTTCCTTTTGAAGAGATTGACAAAAGCCTTCAATCACCTTATTAACTTCAGTAACATTCTTATTAGAAGAAGATTGAAACTCAATCATAAACTTTGTCATATTGGATTACATTTCCTTAACATTAGAAGCAACTTTTTCAACTTTGGCCTTGGATTCTACAATATTCTTAGCTGACTCTTCAACAAATTTCTTGTGAGATTAAAAAATATTATCATTAGATTTAGTTAAAATCTCTATGGTTTCTTGATGAGATGTAACCATATTTTTCCTGTTTGTAGTTGAAATAGTGTTGGTATGTAAAAGATTATGATCCATCTTTTTGTTTAACTCACAAAATTCACCTCGAGTTATTGGAGCAGATAAACCAACATCATCGTCACTTTCAATTCTAAATTGAAATTAGGAATAGAAAAATCATCAAGTGATGCAGGTTCATCACCAACAATAAAATATTCATCAGAAGCTGGAGACAAAGGAGGAATAGAAGTCGATGTAGGTTCCGACTCTGGTGGAGTTTGTGAAATATTGATGATGTGCTCTTTCAATATATTTTCATAAACATCTGACTCTAGTGGAGTTTTAACAGATGAAGTTGGTGGAATAGAGACCTTCATAGTTGTAATTGTTGCAATCAGTTCAGATTTCTTTGAAGGGACTTCGGAAGTATGTGCAATATCATCTTCATTTAAGAAAGTTTCCTCACCCATAACATTATTGTGAGTATGATCATCCGAATCTTCATCAATCACAACTTGTTTATACTTTGGCTCTCTTTGTTGCTTCGGTTTCTTTAAGACACCAGCAGTTGCTTTCATTTCTCTTTTTTCTACTTTTTTTGGAATATCAACAGTTTCAAGAACTACTTGCAAAGAGGTGGGAATTTCACGAACACCAGAATTTGGAATTTCCCTGTAGCCTTTGATAATAACATATTCAATAGGTACCCAAGCCAACATCACATCAGGAATTAAACCAACCAAAGGAAAAAATCTTTGGATCACAAGTAACAAAGTTGTGGTTTGCATCTTCGGGATTTCAGCAATCACAACATCCTTCATCTCTGGTACTTGGTAATGACTTAGGGCATGACAAACAACAATTGACCAAAATCGATCATAATAAATATCTGAATCCTTCGTGTTAGAACTCACACTTTGAAAAACTTAAGACCAAATGATTTTTCCATAATCAATATTCTCCCTAGAAAACAGACCATAAATCAAAGTATAGAAAACTTTGCTAGCACTGTCAGAACCTGTCACTCTCTCTGATAAACACTTGAACAAAATCGTGAACAAGGCATTCCAGATCGGAGGCAATGCATATTTTTTAAAATTCGATAATAAAGAAAGATCAGAATTATACCCTATTTGATGAAACATAGTAGTGAGACGAGAAATAGAAACTGCATCAGGCTGAATAGCATCTTGTGAAGAAGAAAACCTTAGCAATTTTCAAAAATTTGCTTTGGCAAATGAAGTTTTGTTTCCATGAACATCAAAATTCATCACTTATAAAGCATTGTTGTAGATTCCAGTAGAATACACCATAGATAAATGAGAAAGTGGAACCTTCTCAAACATCATTAAAGTCTTCATTAATTGTGAATGAAGCAGACACTCAATTAAGGGTTCAATTGTAGGGTGGTACTTCAAACCATCCAAATCAGACACTAAGTTCTAATTCACCTTGATTTTCAACATTGCAGTTGTTGCAGATTGATCCATGAATGAGATTTGCTCAGTAGAATCCATTTATAGAAAAAGATATTTTGCATAAAATTGATGAATAGTGAAGAAGCTTTGAGAATTTTGTGAACGTAAAGAGTAACATATACAACTCTTGAGCTTTATATAGTATTAGATATGTAAATGATTTAAATTTAAATTTGAACCGATATCCATAAGTGGAGAGAGAAAACCACCATTTCTCGCTTTAACTGCCTATCACATCCACATCAGCCAAAATTCCCATGCCCATCTTGTCAAAAGTAATGGTCCAACAGAATTATACCAACACACATTTATTTATAACTTGTTGAAACAAGAAAGTGAGCCTTTTCAGCTAAGATCGACCCGAAGACCTTTTGCCTTGTGAACCCGAAGAGAGCCACCCGGAGAATACTTTTGTCATCTTGTTACATGAAGATGTTAAGACAACCCACATAGATGAACTATGCATGAAGACAGTCATAAGTTACTTTTACTAACTTTGCTTTTAGTCGTTGTAATATCCGGTGTACCCTTCAGGGTCACCGAAGTCAATTAATTTATGTTATTTTTATGTTTCATGTAACTTTTGGGACTCTATAAATAGAGCTTCCCACTTCATGTATTTCTTACCAATTTAACACATCAGAGCTTATTTAATATATAAGATCGTTCATATCTATATCAAGTTATCTTAACTGATACTTAAATTGAGTCCCTCTTCACTTGTGTTGTTTATCTTATACTAACTTGTGTTTGCACGCAAACCTTGTTACGATTCAACCTAGTGTCTACTTGTTTACTGCTTATTGATATAAACTTGTTGCTATTTATTTTCCTTACATTTCCGCAATCCAACTTATTATTGTTGACCTAACAAGATCCATTGAGATTAACTTATTCCACAACTTATTATCTCGTTACTAACATTTTATCAAGTTTTTCTCTCAACAATTGATATCAGAGCCAAAGTGGTTGCCTTTTAACTGCTTTCAAAATCGAAGCTTTTTCTCAAAAACTCTTATTTAAAAGGCCTTCTAGACCACTGAAGCACATACGAAAATAAAAAAAAACAAGGAAAATGGCACAAGCTTATTCTCTAAACGTTTCAAACAATGTTGGCTGTTCTAACAGAGCCCCAATACTCATTGCAAGTGAATATCATCATTGGTCCCAAAGAATGGAAAGATATCTAAAGAGGCTCGATAGAGAAGTGTGGAGATCCGTAGAAGAAGGACCCCATGTCCTTATTCTCACTCCTATTGCAGCAGACGGTGCTCAAGAAAGACATGGTGGAGGTCAAGAAGCCATGAACAGACCTACCAATGATGACCTAGAGAATATGGAGAAAGATGCAATCACTTTCTAGGAAATCTCTAGTGGTGTTGCTCCTGAAAACTTCAACATCATCATAAACTGTGAATCTGCTAAAGAGATCTGGGATGTTCTAAAAAATCTCTATCAAGGGTATGAACAGGATTAAGACAAGCAGCTTACTACAGTTGTCAATGAATTCACCAACTTTAAAGCCTTTCCTGGTGAAATCCTTGACGACTCCTTCAAGAGATTCAACCTCATTATCACCAAACTTTCAAACGTTGGTATTGTAAGAAGCAATCACGAGACCAACCTGCAGTTCCTGATTGGATTGGGAAGACATTGGACTATGGATAAGATGATAGTCCAAGGAGACAGAAAGATCCAAAGTCTCTCACTATTCAAGCTATACGATGAAATTCAAGCACAAGATTCAACGGTGTTAAGAGAATGTGCAAACTTGGGTGGATCACTTGCTTTGATGGCCCAAACTCCTCAATATACCATCAAAACTCCTCAGTATCCCTATAGCATGGAGTCCTCCAATCAACACTCATACGACAACTCAATGCAGTCGTATGAAGCAGATGCAGAACTTGATGACGAGGAAGTGTTTCAAAACACTATTGCCCTTGTCAGCTAACAGTTTAATTGACTTCCACCACCCACCTTTTGAAAAAACCAACAGTTCAACAAACCAACTTTTAACCAAAACTTCAACCCACAGAGAAACCATCTAAGATATCCTAGAAACCCTCATCAATAATCTCATTCACAAAATGCCCCTCAGACAAAAGAAACCCTGCAGACCAACAAATCTTCAGACTCTGGTAAAACTACTGAAGACAAATATGGAGTTCTTGTTTGTCATAAGTGTCACAAAGAAAACCACTTTTCACGAGACTGCAAAGCAAACGTGGTAAAAGACAAAGCATTATACCTCAGAATGACACAAGAATTGGAAGATAAGGAGCAAGAAAAGGCAAGAGCTTTTGTTTCCCAAGTTAGAAGGGATCATCAGATATGGTCCTCGGGGATGAAGACGAAGAGCTTGAAAAGAACCAGAAGAAAGGGAAATTTTTCATGGTGGCAACTAGTGAGGAAGATGGATCAATGAACCTGTAGAGGAACTTTTGCTACATGGAAAAAGACGGAACCCTCAGCATCGTCGCGCAGGTAAAAATTATGATTCAGTCAAATGATTACAACATGCATGATTCTGAACCGTATTTAGAAAGACTTAATGACACATGTGTTGCCGTCCTTACAGATTACAACAAAGCCCTAGATGAAAAGAACATAGCGACCCAAGAGCTGTACCATGTCATAGGAAGACTAGAAGACAGAGTTTATCGTCATTATGTTAGAGAAGGGTTTGTTGTTAGAAAAAGACGTTAGAGTGTTAAGTGTAACCCAATTAGATATTGCTTTTAAGCGATGGGATCTTGCCCGAAAAAAAAATTGTACGCTTGAATCGTTTAATTGAAAAATTGTTTACTGAAAGTGAAGCAATTGAGAACTTAGTGAATAATGGGATAGTAGACAACACTTATAATTGGGGATGGTCCAATGGGTATTCTACCGACGAGAATTCTCCTCCTCGGTTTGATGCCGATCGTCCCTATGTCCCACGAGATCAGGCTGTTCATTATCCAGTCAATGAAAAAACTTTTCCCGAAGACATTTGATGTCATTTCGGTAGACTTCATGATCTAAGCAAGTATTGTGTTATCAAGGAAATATATCCTGAATCCTTTGGAAACTTAGATAATTTCTTGCCCATCATTGGTACAATCCGTCCCAGTTCTCAGTCCAGTTCAGTTGTGGATGAAGAAATTGTTTTAGAAGGACCTGAATTAGTTATAGACTGTCCATCTCTGTCTTCCAAGACATGTCCCGACCAAGAGTCACCATTGACATACTCTGCGGTACTCCAGTCCTCACTACCGTAGACCCCAGTTAAATCCACATCTACCATTCAGCCTATCTTGCATGAACTACTCATTGATAATTTTGAGTTTCGACAATGTTCTCAAACTCCTAAACTTTTCAGTTCTGATGACTCAGCTCCTCGGTCTTTACCTCGAACAAAGAATTTCAAAAACCTCAGTTAAATGTTTCTGATGTTGTTCCACCAAAAATTAAAGCAAAATTGGCTCTGGAAAGAGAGATCAGATCCCGACGTGAAAGGCGGGAAGCGGATTACCCATCACTCCAAAAACTTTTTCAAAACCCACTACAGTCGATGGATTGTGCAAAAAGGCATGTACAGTGACAAAATCTCATGACACAAACAACACATAAAAGTTTCAAAAAGGAGTCAAGTCACCTTTGCAAAATTCCTTAAAATAACCAAAAAGATGGGTATTTTACACACTTCACAAACTTCGAAAACTCTTCCATCTGTCAAAAGGTCAAAACCTATGACCATGCCCTTTAGGAGGTCTTTTTCAAACCCACTGGACACTCCAAAGAAACACAATCCAAGGACCAGTCCTAAGAAGAAGACCACAGTCTTCAGACCATTGACCAAGTATGGTCTGTGGATTAATGAAAAGAACCTCTCTTTTTGTTTTTATCCACTGACAACAAGGACATGTCCAATCCCAACATGAAAAATTCAAAAGGAGGTCACACATCATGGTCCCAGGTAAATATGGAAAAAGAAACCTGCTAGTGAGTCCCACATGCATGCATCTGTTAAGAATGTTTCCCACGTTACCTCGGGCTCCAAACTAGTTTGGGTGTCCAAACTAACCAACTGATTGTGTAGGAAATGTGCAAGGAGGACCAAGAAGAAGAATGGTTAATTTATAGAGTCTGCTCTTTGCACATGACTGGAAGGTTAGAATACCTTCATGACTTCAGGCCAATCAGTGGTGGTGGACATGTCGCCTTTGGAAACAATGCAAACGGGATAATCAGGGTTTATGGAGTATTAACTACGGGTAGCTTCTCTATTCAACGAGTTGCTTACGTAGAGGGTCTAAAACACAACTTGATCAGTGTGGGTCAATTGTGAAAAGCTGGTC